GAAATGGGTTAACATCAATTTTCAACTTATTTAAAAAAAAAAAGAGAACTTTGATATTCAATTTTAATTGAAAATCTTTCTTAAAAGAAGAGTATAGGTTTGTTTGCGTCACATGCTCCAATATGCTCCTGTAGCTCTTTTTCATTCCAATGCCCTCATTAGAGTGAGTAAGAACTATGGCAGGAACATGTGACTGCCATGACTGCATTTGATTTGATTGCTTTAAAATCATTAATCTGTCTTTATTATTTAATTAGTAAATGTAAAACGGATAAGATAAAACAGAACATAAAAGAATGCTGAAAAAACACACACTAAAAGTATCCAAATCAAACACAGCCTATATCTTAGCCAATGTAAGCTCTGTACTTACTACTTCCCAGATCAACCAAAAATGCTCGATTCAGATGCTTGTGATAAACAAGAGCCGCATGAACGCGAGAACAAGACGCATGATCAATGCAGAAGTCATTCAGCTGTTGATTGCGACCAAATAGATAACACTTCTTTTCATCCACCATGAGTTTCTAATAAAGTAAGGTCTATGTGATACTTGGTTCATACAAGAATTCAATTACATATCATACAACTAGTAAAAATAACAAAAATGAATGAATTTATTAGAATATTTCTAATTTTATTTATCAACGCCTAATTGCTTATTTTTGTAATTTCATCTTGTTTCGAGACATATAATTGACCTCCAACTCACACGAGTAAGACTACAATTCGAAAGTACTATCTGAATGTTAACAATGTCACTTTATTCATCGAATGTTAAACAAGGATAAAATTAGATTCAGAGTATGCTCCATTTGCTTACAATGCTTGCAGGTATTATTTATCCTTGTTATTTGATAAAAGAATGATATGATTTCCATGAGCATCAAATAGATTGTGAACATCAAATAGAACAAATCTTTGGAGGCACTCAAATAATATTTTCAAATGAGTTCTAATAATAGAATTCCAAGGGAATGATATGTCACTAAAGATACAGCTGATGTATATCTTGTATTGCCCCTACCTGTATCAACTTGTCATTCTTTAACACGTCCAGATGCAACCCCACCGGTGGCTTACCAGCCCTGAAAGAGATTATTAATGTGTATACACGAAAATCGTGTATACACAAAATCGTTCCAATATACACTGCCAGTGCATACTATCTAATTCTATCGTTTATATTATGTATACTAGATTTTTAGTGTGGGAACGCGATTGAAATGTATCCAATATATCGCTAGCAGACATTCCCAGCCTTGCCGCGCGACGACAAACAATTCGAAACGTGCGATTCCATAAACAATAAACAGAATTGAATGATCAAGTTACGTCGCAAATGAGGAAGCTTTGAAACGTACCAGTTTGGAACCTCGTAATGGTTAGCCATTGTCGTCTACAACTTGCACGAACAATTCAAACAATCTCCCTCACTGCATTATTATAAGTGCGAGCGAAAACATAAATAATAACGGGCCATAATGGGCGATTCTTTCTGAACTATATCAGAATGCAAAAATGTACATACGAAAACAAATTAACAAATCCCGTCAGCAAAATACTATTACGAGAATGGAATCCTAAAGATCCTAGAAATCAAAGGCGTCGTTGAATCGGTTAGGTTAGTCGTCATCGCCATTATTTTTCAATATGATTGTCTGATTGGCTGTCTAAGGGTGTGTTCTATTTCACGTATGATGTGCATGATGTTATTTTTAGTATTGTTTAGTAGAATTTCTATCAGATTTGGAAATTTTTTTCTTCTTATTGGAAGATTTTTTGAAGGTACAAAAAATTTAAGAGAATTTTCAGGTGATTTTTGAAGAGGAAAATACAAAAAAGCCTAAAATACAGCTAAAATATTGAGAAAATCACAATATAAAATTATTTTGAACAGACTTGGCAACAGTGCCACATCTATTTTGTAAAACTGCAGATAAAATCATAGTGTCAAAAATTAATGTGATATGTATTTATGCTAACAAGAACTGCCAAGATTGAAGAATATCAATTAGATCGGTATGTTACTTGTATGTTCCTTTTTCACTGGCACAACCACCATGACGTCATAACAGTCTATCTGTCACAATCGTTCTGTCACTACTGTCAGTAGTATCAGCGCAGTACTGTGATTAGTGATATCGAATTTCAGATTTCGAAGCAGCATAATATCGACAATACTTCGACGTAGGCGACAATACTTCGTCCTGTCCTCTTGGACACTCTTGGAGAGATTCATTGAAGCTCAATCGAGGATCTAGAAACTCGTGGCACTCAGTTTGTCCTGTCACAAATAAAATATTACTCTGTGTAGAGCGGCGAGCGACACACAGGAATCGAGAGAATCGCGCGGATCGCGCGTACAGGTTAATGCGTTCGTCTAGGGCGAGTCTTGATTGACGGATACAGAGATGTCATTCAAAATCGGACAACGCGTCGAGGTCCCCGTGAAGGAATGCCAAGGCGTGATCGCCTATATCGGTTATCCGGCGTTTGCGTCGGGTAAATGGATCGGCGTGATACTCGACGAACCAAAGGGGAAAAACAATGGCAGCGTCAAGGGACAGGTGTACTTCAAGGTAAATCAACAGAGAAACATACCGATACTTAAGGGTGACCTCGACCAAACTCTAATTAACTTCGATTGACGATTGATTTAACTGGCAGAATTGCTTGCAACAAAAAATTTTAAATTATAAATATTTCACTTGTCTTTATAATCTGTTTTTTTAAGTGTTGAACGATAAAAGATAATTCTAATATTAATGAAATGATATGAATATTATTTGATAAATTACCACTAATTAAGTTAATTGGAATTTAACAGAAGTTTGTATACAATCAATGACAATTATATTTATTTTTTCTGAGAAAGAACAGATTGTTTCTGTTACAGTGAATCAATCACACACATTTGCATTATATTAGAATATAGTACTAAAAGTTGCCATATATGAAATTACAAAATTAACCATTCGATGACAATGTTGAATTTTAGAGTAGGATTACGCTGTATATCTCAAGATTATGTTATAGCAGAAGATCTTTTTTTAATCTTCTATTAGATTATATTAGAACTCTTTTTCACTTTAAACATATATCTATCTTCCTTCAAATTCCAAAAATATACACTAGTTCAGTCACAAAAAAACGGACCGAGTTTTATTTACTTATGAAGGTAGAAAAAAAAGCATATTTATGTTGTTTATTTTTATTGTCACAGTGCGCAGAGAATCATGGTATGTTTGCACGCCAAACGCAACTTATTCTATTGGACGAAGCTGGCAATAGAACTGAGCCTGTTAGCCCATCATCTGCAGGCAGTAATGCCACGACACCTGATGATAGCGCCGCTAGAGCCAGGAGTCGATTAAATAGGTAAGTTGTTAAATTTAAATATCAGATTGCATTGAAAAATTTTGGTTAGATTTAAAAAAGAAACGTTCTTAAATAAAAAATATATATAATTTTTTCTATAACAAGTGCAGTAAACTGTAAATATTATCAGCGTACTACAATAATAGATTATTTTAATTTTACTATTAAATATAAATGCTGTAGAGTATTTTGACACTTTTAGAATAATATACTATCTTTTAAAATGTAAGCAGAGTATAAATTATGCGTTTGGCTTTGCGTCGAGACACTACTGTGTCTCCAGATTTCCAAGATCTCCAAATTTGTATCAAAAAGTAATCTGTTCATTGTCAAATTCAGTGTGATTTATAAATTTAAAAGAAAGAATATTTGAACTTATGTATTTTTACAATTTTCATGCTAGCATTAGTATGCGTCGAAGGAATGAGCCTACAGCGTAAGTTTTCCATTTTGTGATAATATCAATGTAAAAAAAATATTTCGTTATTTTGCCATAGAATTTCTTGTATAAATAAATAGGCGAATAGGCGAGTATAATGTAATTAATAAAGTCTTAAATATAATTATATGCTGCTCATAAAAGTGTACGGAGAAAAACATCTCCTGCGAATGTTACTCGCCAGCAAACTGACAAACTTTCTGGGTAAGATTACTGCAAGCTAAATTTTAGCAAACGGAATTTATGTCAGCAAGGTGTATTTTTTGATCTTTACTGCTTATAGAAAATCACAATTATCTCATAATTCTGTCAAAATGCCAATCTCCCACTATTGAACATCTAAACCATTCTGCAGCCTTAAAGCACAAACAAGTTGCTAATATGCCTGTTATGTATAGCTTTTACAATATGCGTATTTATTTTCAGTTAATAAACAATTAGCGATTATTTCTGTTGTGCTTGTTATCGTGTCACGAAAATTGCACTGCTAAATATTGCAAGCATTTTATTTATTAATTTAATTTAAATTTACATTTTTATAAGATATTTATATTTTTTTCATATTTTTCATAATGTGTCAAAACTTTTTACGGACATATAATTATGTGAATATATTGTTACAATATTTTTACTGCGATTTTTATTATTTTATATGCAGGTTTTTATTTCTTCATTTCTTTATTTTAACATAAATAATATAAGTTTAAGTTAGAGTTTCCATCGCGATTGATGCTTTGCGGCCAGCTTAGTACAGCAAATGTATACAGTATCCTCCATAAGTCTGAGAATCCTATGTTTTACAGGCTTATAAATAATTATTTAATTGAAAAAAGATGAAATAAAAATAAAAGTACATATATACATATATTATCTATAACGTATGTACTGAAAGCAAAAAGTATTCGTACAAGGAAATTTTTTATAAAAAAAATCTTATTTGTAAAAAATAAACATTAATTAGCAATTTTATACAATAAATATATTCTGTTTTAACATAAACAAACGAGCTTCGCATGTATTCCTAATTTTAGAAGCTAAATTTCTCGATTGTACGAATACTTTTTGAGCATCAAAATAAGAATTTTTAATTTTCGCTTATTTTTCAGATGATATATATATATTTTCTATAATTAATACACATCTTTTTAGTATATATAATTTTAAGAAACATATCTATTTTATTATTATGAATAAATTGTTAATTACTCATCAAGAAATAATCGTCAATTAAACGTCGAATCGACGTCGAATTGATGTTGAAATCATTGTATCGATATCGATTCGACATCAATTTGATGACTCATTTCTCGCTAGATAATATTTTTAAAACTAAAGTTTTTTTAAAAAAATATTTTTTCTGATTTTTCTCTTTTTTAAAAGATTTTTTAAAAAATATTTTCTGTACGAATACTTTTTATACTCACTGTATGTATTTTTATTTCATCTTTTTTCAAAGATTTTTTTAAAGATTTAATAATATGCTATTAAAATATGGAATTTAATTAAAATTTTAATTAAAAATGATTTATTCGAACTCTAATTCTTCGGGGCCATTTTACAATTTTTACGGTTTGAAATCAACTTGCGATCCAAATAGTTTACCACTTTTGTAGAAACCGTTAAACTACAATTAAATGATCTGTGTATATACAACGAACACAAGTACGACAAACAAGTGACAATATATATATATATATATATATAATAAAA